CTTTTCTTTTCTTTTTTCCTTCTTTCTTCTAAGTGAGACTGTTTGCCAATGGATTGGCAGAATAATTTTTGACTGTTTCATGAGCAATGTAGTGGCTGTTGCACATTTGGAGCAACTCTGCACGAGATGCTTGGAAAGGGAGTGCATGGAAGCATTTCAGAATGATGTGGTTGGAAGGAAAACCACAGGCTGCAGAACTACATCAAAGTGTCACAGCTGGGGAAAACCCCTCGAGGTGATATATATTACTTTTTGTATTGACTTTTTTTTCTGGGTAAGCAGCATTTTGTGTACCCAGTGTTTAGTGCCTTACACTAAAAGAATATTTGTAGCAACCAATTGTTGTATTGGTGAGCCAGAGAGGCTGTGTTGATGCGTGCAGATCTGTCCACCTTTTTCGTGACCCTGCTCTTTTAGGGCTGGAAAACAGTCTTGGGGACATACAGGGACACATCAGTGTGCTGAAATTTGGGTATCTGACACACCTGTTCTCAATCCCCTTCAGCCTTCCTGGCATTATTCCAAACTCAGCTTAAAGTGCTTGCTAATCCCCTCAAACCTTTGGAACAGAGCAATATGATGATGAGAGAAGGACAACTCAAAGTAGATTAGTAATCTGGGGGAAAATGTGCATTTTTAATGTGCTGTGCTTCCCCACATGGAGAGGCAAAATGCCCCTCACTGATGGTTGTCTCCTGCTGGCAGAAAGGCAGCTTCTGACAGTTGTGCAGTTTCCTGCAATTTTTATCTTTCCTTATCTCCTCCCCTTGCTTCCTGGCAAGGGGACCTGAAGCAGCTCTGACCTTTTACCAGTAAGTTCTGTAAACTGAAGATGAACTAAAATTATGGGTYSATGCKGGAGGGGCGAGGGTGCACTACAAAMAAAAYGTTCTCTCTGTCAGTAGTGTGAACTAATGAGCCATTGGCTGCTCATGCCAGGTTAAAGCATGTTGTAATCCAGAGGACTGGATGAGAGAAGGAAGAAATACTCTTGTACCTGCGAGAGAGTTTCGTGACTGTAAAATTCTCCTGTTTCTTAACATGTGATCCTGATGTCAAATCTATTCAGACCATCAGCTCTCAACCCTGGCCCTTCTCTTCCCASTCCCTTGGCACTYGCCAGCCTTGCAGCAGGGCAGATTTCTAGAGCTGTTAGTGATGGATGCCCTTAGCTCAGACCAACAGCTCCCTTTCCTCCTGAGTTTCCCTATCAGCCCTTTCTTCCCCACAGTGTGGGGAGGCCCAGCATCCTTCCTTCTGCAACTGCCTCCTCTCTGTTCCCAGTATCAAAATACAAAAATCCCATCACTGCCACACACCAAGACAAATAACCATAATGGGTTCTTTCCCTGGGTCCTTGCAAGTGTGTAAGCAGCTTGGAGATCTTGGGCTGTCTATTTTTTTTTTTTGTTTTGTTTTTTGTTATGTATGTTTTTGTTTTTGTATTTGTCTTCTATTATATTTTAATTTTATTTTATTTTCTGAATCTTTAGCTACTTTTGTCCTGAAAGAGTTCAGGCACCTCTCTGCCCCCCAAGGATATGATCCATTTAAACTTCTACCTTCTACACTGATCTTGGCTTTTATCTACCCCCCTGCTATGCACTATTTTGGCCTCTGAGCCAGCTGACTGGGCAGGAGGAGCTTTTCCCAGACTATGTCCCGTATTTGAGGACTCAAAATCACATCATGAGAGATGTGCATTTACTGTTCTTGGTCAATAACTATTTCTTTGCCCAAGCCATGAATGGCTTGCTGTCCTAATCCTGCTAAAGGTACCATCTGARCTGGCCCAGCCACTATGAATCCCCACTTGGCTCAGACATCTGATATTGTGCATGAATTTCACTGACTTACCTCCCAGAATCTGAGAGAGGTGGGTCAATAGTTCAAGCCTGATCTGTGATTCCAGCCCAGCTTGGAAAACCATTGAAATCAAAGCCTCCCTTAAGGTAGAGGGGACCGAACTCTCCTCCAGATGCTTGTAGAGGAAAGTACGTAGTTGCCTGCAGGTTTATGGTGTGTGTGTGTGWGAAAAAGCATAAAATTAACCTAGGAAACATCAACCATGTGTTTTACCCAGTGTTATGGGTTTCAGGGTATTGGCAARTTGTGATGCTCTTAATGGACATCCCAGCTTTCCCACTGGGACAGAGAAATAGGGCATTTAGATATTAGCATTTCCAGATACATACATGAAGGGAAGAATTGAAATTATAAGGGCTTGGGTGAAAGCTAAAGAGTCTCTTGTTCATATATTGGGAACAAGGGACAGTTTATTCTGGGTATTTCAGTGTGCAGAAAGGGTTCTGCCTAGGTCCTTTGTGCAGTGGAAGCTGTGACACACTCTCTGCCTTGTCCTTGCTCATGTCCTTCCCAAAACGGAGAAGAGTGAACACTCTGAGATTTGCACCACATACCRAGATTCTACCTGTTTCTGATGAATATGAGGAGGAATTCAAGAGAAGGATTTGAGGCATGCTCCTCATCCAACACCTTTGCTTTCTTTTCCTTTTATATTGGAGCAAGGCTAGTAAGCCTGCCCATGAGGAAGATTTTTCATGTGTTACAAAGAAGCTGGCTGGAGGAAGTTGACAGTTCATTGGTATCCAGGAAGAGGTCAATTTCCTTCTTTATAAACATATCAGAACAAAGCTATAGAAGTAATAAAATATTAAACCTCCACCTATTTAGTTTCTTGGACACTCCATCAGAAAGAAGTGAGGGAAAAAGTAAAAACAATCATCAATATGCTTGTTCATASAGATTGGAATATTTATCCAGAAAGGAAAGAAGAAAAGTCAGTCTGTGAGCATCTTTTGCAAGTAAGGAGCAAA